AAAGTTAAGTTTAATTTTTTTTTTTTTGTAAAACGTAATAATATGGGATGACAATAATTTTTATTATAATTTGAAGTTGATTTGGAGACAACTGAGCAACGAGGCTATTAAGGTTGACATTTTGCATTATACCAATGAAATAGATATGTGAACATATTATTTTCCCTATTATACAAATCAATTCTTGTTCCTGTTTATGAATTTTTTTTAGATAAGACTCGGGATTGACATATTTATCGCATTACAAGATTCAATAATGAGATTCAATCCCTTGCCCCATTACTTTATTATTACATGACAAGGTTAAGGATAATCTTATAACATGTTTGCTTAAGAAACTCAAACACGATAACCATATTTTGTACATTTTATATTGATGTTGTATAATCAAAGAAATACGAAAGTGACTGAACGAGCTTGTACATACGAATCAGTTCGGTGATGCATACATTTTGTATACATACCGGTAGATAAGAGACGTGAAGACATAAATATGCGGCTATACATCCATTTCATCAAAATTACAAATATATCAATTATTTATGAATATATATTTTATGGATTAAGACATGCATGACAACAACACAATATTGTATTCTACATAACAACGTTACTTTATGAGTAGACTGTGAATTTGGAACATTTTTGTACTAAAACCAATCATTGTACTTGAAGTATATATGACAGAAGTTTTAAAATATTGAAAATTGAAATACAGTCGATTTACTTAACATCGATTAAGTTTAATACAAATGGTTCCCTAGCATAATGAGAAATTGGACAACTGAAAAGAAACAAAATAACTTAAATAAGCTAGAACATTGCATCAATAAAAATCACGCTTACTGTGCGACTAGACCTATTTATATTCCTTGTCGTTGACGACTGTTGTTTTCCTAGGACACACATCGCTTGTCACCTCTTATGCTAAGTGACATATTTTTCACGTCAAGTAAAATAATAGCGTCATAATCTTTCATGTCGATCACATTCGAACATGCGTTTACTTCATGTTGCTATTAACAACTTTATAGTAAGCATTTATTAGAACACCACTAAAGACATATTTACATACATACACATTCACATATATAAACGAAAGTGGTACTAGAACTCTATGCTGAATAGTATGTCACTACCTGATACACTGACCTGACATGCCACAATAAAAACGACCTTACTGTAGTCTTTAACTCTTCAACATTTCTTTTTAGAATAATTGTCCTTTTAAGTTATGATATTATAATTTCGTTATAAAATAACAGTTCTATTGAAAGTCTTTGCGTATAGCTCAGTTGACAAAGAGATGAAGTGACTTTACTTAACTACAAGATGTGTCCCGAGTTCGAGATCGGTCTCCCGCTAGCCTCAGCCGCTAAGTAAGCCAAAAAATATGTCCTCATATTGGTATCTTTAACGAGTTGTTGCTAAAATAGTTCTATGAAAATATCTATACTATCTTATAAAACATTTGGCTAAAACTCTTAAAAACTCTTAAACTCGTTCATCCCTAAACGATTTCATCCCATATCTGAATTCGTGTAACTAACTACAGATAAACACAGTCAAATACAGAATAAACATCTCATTTTAAATATAAAAATCTAAAATATAATTAGTATAATCATTAAATTATAACAGAATACTTAATTATTATCTTTATAAAGTTTATAATATTAAACCAAAAATAAATTGTTTTATCATTA